CTTATGAGACTCCATTACCTGCAGCAAACCCAAGGAACCAATCGGTAATCTGCAAGTAAGTACAACCTTGATTATTCATTTCCCATACACAATACTTCGCTAGGTTACCACCTCAAACACCAGGCCACCAAGTTATCGGAACTGTCGTAGACACCCACACTGTCTGCGTAAGTTATCATTCTTTCCACGAAGAGTAAAGTGTTAGACGTACGATGCGGCCACACGCTGTTCACCAGCTCCGCATTTTTCGTATCCAGCCGCCTAAGAGTGAAACCTTCAGGCACGCTGTAATTGTTTTGAGAGTATAGACACTATGGTACATATATACATTATACATATTTAGCTTTGGATATGTGTTTACTCTAATGCAAATTGAGTCGCTTTGTCTTTGTCGATATGATACCAAGCGGTGCCGTCTGCCTCAAATTCCTCTTCCTTTGCACCTCTGCCTATGAAGAATTGCTTAACAGTGGGCGTTAGCCGTTCCGGATAGCCAAATACTAGAAGTGGTTCTTTGTTCTTCAGCATTCTAAGTGCAGTCAGTAAACGCTCTTGATTGTCACTCAGTGTATTGATGAACAAATAGGTTATTGGTTTCTTTTTCTATAATTGTATGAATTAATGCAAGAGTACACACATAATGGGTAGCCGACTTACAATAGCCACATAGGTGCCATCGCTTCGCCAATCTCCATTCAATGAGTAAATGTTTATTTCGAGCTCCTCGTTCTGAATTTTCCAGTCAATCAGGCATTGTATGGTATTGTATGCAGAGGATAACTGCTTCTGGACCAAGTAAAGGTCTCGCAAATCAATCCACTCCGCTTGTGGAATCTCAACTAAAATGTTTGCCATGCTCTTAGCAGTACTGCCGAAGTAGTTGTGCGCAGTGCGGACTTTTGGAAATTGCCATGTAGCCGTTTGTGCAAGTTTTTGTAAGAGACTTGCATTCTCGTGATGAGCGCATTGAACTCTTTGAAGAGAATGCTTTTTGTGCAATTGTTTAACAACGTTCTCATCTTATATCAACAGAGTCAACTCAAAATGTACTCATACTAATCAGCACTTATAAATTTTTTATTTTTAAATATCGAAGCACGTATTTCTATTACTAGGCGCTTGAGTATTTATAGTCCCAGAAATATGTTATCACTTGTAAAATCATATATTTTCAATTGAAGTCATTCACCTGCTGCTGGTTTTATTGCCCAATATGTTTCTCCGCCATTTTCGAAGCGCAATTTTTCAAACAAACGACGGCTCGGAGTTTAAATAGATTTTCAAACTGATGAACTGCAGAGAGGAGACAATAGAATGAGGGGACCTTAGACTCTACCAGGCACCTACCTTGATGTAATTTGGTTTGAAAGAGGCTTCTTAAAAAAAAGCGATGTAACCTATAAATTGGTCTCAAATCGCAATTTAGTGCATTTTGAATCCACAAAATTATTTAAGCGTCTGCAGAGCTTTTAAACTGCAGTTGTTTGTGGCTAATGGGTTTCCCAGCAACAAATAATGACCAGATCGAGAAACAGAATTACAAATCTAAATAAATACTAGTTGAATGAGCCGAACTAACAAACATAAATACAAATTATTTGAACAGAGTAAAGCGTAGACCGCGACTACGGCTTGTCAGTGGGAAAATAAAATAGCTGAATAGCAGCGTCGTCGTAGCAACTACATTTGTGGCAACTAGTTGTGTAAAAGTCGAGAAATCAAAGAAAACAACCCAATAAACGTCTATGGCAAAAATGCCGACGGCGAACGCAGAAAGAGCAACAGCTGAGGTGGAAATTGTGTGCCCAGGCTAAAGAAGGCCGGCGACGGCAGCAAGGCAAGAGCGTGGCGCAAAGAAGTTGCACATGCAAATGAAAGCGAGCACATCCGCAGCTGCTGTATTGCCTTTCACTTCCGACGGAAGCCTTTGCCGGAAACGAACTGTGCGACCGGATTTCTTCACAGACATTGTTGTGATTTTCTGCTCGCTCTTTACTTATCTTGTGTACAGAAGAGAGCTAATTCGGCTTCTGCTTAGACACCGAAGTATGAACTATGTGAATTTTGACAGTAATTGTGGTATTTATGTTGAATCTGGCAGACGCTTGCCGAAGTAACATGGAATTGAATAATTACATTTATATCTATGTACATACAAATGAACCTGCCAACTGTTTAAATGATTGGATTTGCAATAATATATCTAAACTCAAAGGAAAAGCCGAATATTCGTAAATGAGCGCTAAATTTAATAGAGAAGAAGTTATGAGTATAGTGAACCAGGTAGAAATACTGATTGTCTATACAGTAATGCAGTAAAAAATCATTATCAAATTATTGTTAAATATTACTATCTAAGAAGTTCCATTACAGCCAGTGGCAACACATATTAAACTGACGTTAAGAATATGTTTCGCATTTTTCAGCAACGATCTTTACTGCTGGAGCACCGCGGCGTATACGCGACCCACCCACCGAATTTCCTTGAACAAACTTTATCGCAGCATTAGTGTGATACTTTGAACAGCATGGCGCCCTAAAGTGACAGCTGCTGCTCGCGCTGAGCTAATGCTGCATGCCACAACTGCACACATGCAGCATAGAGGCACACACGCACGTATATTTATGAGTTTAATATGAGCGCTAACTGTGCGGTTTCACTCCTTTTCATGATGGCCATGACGACGCTGATTATGGCGCCGATAATGTTAGTAATACTTTTATAGAAATATAAAAAGCGTGCGTATAATGCATCCTACAAGCAAGCAGCTGGCTGCAGACGCGCATACGTGCAACATAAGAGCGTATGTGTGGGAGTGTGTGCCAAATGGGCTGCTCGCTCGACTGCGCTCGACACGACAGAAACATTTTGTTGCATCATTCGCATCGTCAACTGTTAATGGCATTGTTGACATCACCATTGTCACCTCAGTAGTTTCTTAGTTGCGCCACAGTGTTTACGCTCCTTTCGGTATTTTTGCAATTTCATGGCAGCGTGCGTTTTTACGTGCCGCCAAACCCTTTGCGCCGCGCCGACCATCAAGCACCGTCAATTGCTGAAAATATTGTTGATAATGTCGCAAAAGAATAGTTTCGGGCAGAAAAAACTGCAATTAGGGGAATAACAACAAAGCGCACAATGAGTAACAGACGTCCGTTTATGGTGAATGGATTCATGAAAATAACAAATAAAAACTTCATGGACAGCGGATGCAAGAAAGGAAGGAAATACATGCTGAAAAAGCTATTCCTTCAGTTTTTCTTTTACAGCTAATCAAGTTTTCATGGTTGCCATTCTTCTGCATAATGACAGAATAACGTGTTTTTCTGGCTTCTTGGTAGCCAGGAATTGTTGATGCCAGCATGGTTTTGTTTTTATTGCACTGTTTTTTTTATCGACGTTATCACAATTATGCTTTTGGCGTGAAATGTTACTTTTAAAATAACTTTAAGATGAGCGGTGCGCTCTATTTTCTAAAGTTTGAAGAAGTTCTACTTCACATAAAATAACTAGTTCCCTAAGATTTCAAACAAGACTTCCAATTTTTCGACGAATTTCATAAAATAATTTTCTTATTCTGACTCTGAATGAAATTAAGATTTTTATTTAGACCATAAATACATATGTAGGTTGCCTTTCCTATTTCGGGATTTGAAACAAAAACAAATACTAATCACTAAAAATCACTTTATTGTTTTTCAAAATATTATGTAGAATTCTAAAGATGCACCGCACTCTGGTCAACCTATCGTTGAAAAAGTCGATAAAATTATCGAAAAGGTTGACCAGGGCCGTCACATAAGCAGCCATGACATCGCTAAGGAACTTAACACTCATTATCAAACGATTTTGAACCATTCATAAAAGGCTGGTTACAAAAAGAAGCTCGATGTTTGCGTACTATGTAAATTGTCTGTGAGAAATTTAATGGATCGAATTCATCTGCTATTCTTTGCTGAAATGAAATCGAACCATTTCCAAAACGAATGGTAACAGGAGACGAAAAATGGATGAAATGCGACAATAATGTGCGAAAAAGATCATGGTCCGCGCGCGGTAAAGTTCAACAAATAGTCGTAAGGCCAGGATTGACTTTGAAGCAATCGAAAAACGGCCATAACTGATCAATAGAACATCGCAATAAGACATCACTGGACCACACACTTCTTTGATAACTCGGCAAAAACTGGGAGAGCTGGCCTGGAAAGTTTTCATGCATCCACCATATAGCCCTGACCTCGTACCATCGGACTACCATTTGTTCAAGAGAAGCCTGTGCAATTACTTGTCGCAGTTTTTCGCCGTGAAACCCGAAAAGTTTTACACTGATGGAATAATGTCTCTAGCAGAAAAATGTCAAGAAATGGTCGACCAAAATGGTAAATATTTTGTTCATTAAAGCTTATTATAAATATGAAAAAAATAAGTTGAACATAATATAATACATAATACTGGTCTTAGTGACTGAAAAAGATGTATACGTTCTTTTTATGTTTCTTGTAACAAAGCACATACAAGTTAGTTTAAGCAGGAGATTTGACACTTTAAAAACGCACTTTACTTCATTGCTTTCTTTCAAGATAATTTTCGATGATCTCAGCAAAGACATTAAAATCAAGCTCTCCACATTAATTGCGTCAATTGAGTATATTTCTGCTCTTGCGAAACTGTCGGGAGTACTTGTGTGGCAGTTGAGAACAAATTTCCTGCCTTATCTTCCACATGCTTGCATCAGATATTTGATGCACTAGGAACAGAGAATATCAAATGTTATTAAGCGCGATAGAGCTCCGAGTCGCAATACACTGAACAATTATCCAATTGCTCAGCGAATGCCAGTATTCTAGCTCCGCATAGCATTTAACGCAAAAGTATTATTATCTGCAAAGAAAGCAAATGAAAACTGCAAAAGCTGCTTTGAAAGCAAAAAGCTTTCTATTAAGAACGTTTTGTATTGATAGGTGTGTCTGAGAGTGCTGTTATAACGTCTTCGGCGAATATGTGTGCCTTCAGTCTCTTACTGTCAGCGCGAGCGAAGGTTGTTTTGGCCAAACAGCGATCACATTCCGTTACTCAGTGTAGGTATGTATATGTAAGTGAGTGTTTAAATTTTGAGAAGAGCGAAATATAATTGATTAGTATTTCGCGGAAAGAGAAATCGGCAAATTAGCTGAAAAATTTACGAGATTAGCGACATATGTGAAGATTAGTAGAAATATATATATATATTTTTTTTTATTGCACATATCTCAAGCAAAAATTGATAGCATCTAAAGGACCCGCTGCAACCCAACTGACTAACTGCAATTTCCAATCACTATCGACTGCAAATGCCCGCTCGTGCGGAATGCTTGCAACCCACGCATTGCGACAGTTCCAACAATTCCACCGCGAAGCCGGCCCAGCAACACCGGCTGCTGGCGGCCATTTGAATACCCCTCGACCAAATGGCTTTTCTTAATTGCTTTTCGATTTGATTTCCACGCCGCTCGGTCGTTACCGTGTTTAGGTTTCACATTTCCCATACACTTTAATTCAAGTTTTGTAGCTTTGCTTTACATTGCCAGCCGTAGCTATCGCACGTCAGCACATCGACAAGCATATATATGTATATGTGTGTAAACACTTCAATTGACTGGCGTTCGGCAGTTTGGCGCGTAAACTAACAACAACTGCGCAACTAACTTGGTCTTTCATTTGAATAGCAACAACAACAACGAGTGCTACCACAAAAGCTGTCATCTAAAGGCTATAAAGACTAGCATCATCATCATCGTCACAGCAGCAGCAGCAGCAGCAGCAGCCACTATGCCAGCAACAAATGCCGCCGGCTCCTCTGCCGTGTCGTCAACGGGCTATTCGCAGCTCACTGCCATCAGCGAAATCAGCGAACTGCATCAATTGCGTGATTTATACCGTCGTGATTGGCCTGCCCACTGTGTGGGCTACTATTGTCTGAGCAATTTCATTGACTGGGTGGAGAAGCGCCAGCGACTGAGCTCAGTGGCGGATATGAAAAATCTGCAGATTTTCACACTGAACAACGATTGGCATGGCGATGGACTTTTTTTGATTGTGGTGAGTAATTGAGTAGCCTAACAAACAAGCACATGTACAGGGTGGTGCAAAATCTTTGAAGACATACAGACTTACACCTAAGAAAATAGGCAGTAATAACGGAGGGATCGCGTGAAATATTTGCGAGAATTAAATTTTTTTTTTTTTTCGGAAAAATTTTTTGAAACACCCAAGAAATTATATTTGAGTTTATTTAAAAATTAATTTAAACTTTAYATTGTGTCTGTAAAAAAGAGAGAGAGAGAGCTGTTTAACGGTACAATAAACTTTTCCATACACCGCAGGACCGTTATCAGCTATTTGTGAATTCACTGCTGTCCAGCGAAGAACGCGAGCGCTTGACAACCGCTTTAGCGCTGCTCAACTGGGCTTGGCCGGGCTTTAAAGTGAGCTCCTTCCGGGAGCGCCATCGCCCGTCGGTGCTGAGTGTCGTGCGTGAGAAGCAGTTAAAAGTTGAGTACGACAGCTTAACCCTTATGTACTACCAGCCACGGCAAGAAGTGCTACAGCTGCCGTTAAGGTATGTATGAAGATTATTATGCGTTGAAACCGCAAGTGAGTAAGTAATTGCAGCTGTCCAGATGGCTATGTACTACGTCCTTTAAATGCCGCAACGGATGCCGACTTAATCGATACACTTTGGCCAAATCGTCATCAGGGTTCACGCTTCGTGATTAAGCGGCTGATCGAATGGAACGCGAATATGGGCGTCTACACCGCAGACAGCGGTGAGCTGGTGGCATGGTGCCTGCGGTAAGCCTTTACTATTATCACCGTATAGAAGTTAGCGCTCTAACAACTGAAAATGTTCTTCATTAGGCTTCAAGGTGGCTTTCTGGGCGCCTTGCAGGTGAAGGAAAACTACAAACGCCGCGGTTTGGGTAGCCTGGTTGCTGCGGCCACGGCGCGTCGTATAGCCGAGGAGGGTGACGATGTAATGGCGCTAGTGAACAAGGATAATCGCGCCTCGCGTGCCACCTTCGACAAGCTGGGATTCAAGGTGATCGATAATTGCTATTGGCTGCGCACTTTTCCCACAAGCGACGTCGAACGCGCGTGGCCAGATGGCGAGTAGGCAGTCTTTTATTCACTGATGGGGGTGTATTGTACTGTATATGAATGAGCCAAAAGATATAATTGAATAAAGTTGAAATGGAATTATTAATGAAACTACTCAAACTGACAATTTTTTGGTGGGATTTCAAATATACTAGACCAAAAATCTACTCAATTTTTAAATTGAGTAGTGGAAAAAGTATTTCCGTATTTTGTCAATAGATGTATTACGCATACTATAGTACAAAATATTCCCATGAAGCAAATTATTTATTAATACAATAAAATATTTATGCTTAACGTCACCTCGTTTATCAAGTATCACGAGCGTTTATACTAATTTCTAAACTCCAACAAAAAATATTCACCTCTTCCACTAACTGTGTTACGAATAAAGGAAAATTGCATAAATTGATAACGCTGTGCGTAGTCAAAGGTTCGAAAGCGCTCTTCTAATCGAACAATTATAAGCGCGACACGCTGGACGCTTTTATCAAATGGCACGAGCGCGATAAGCTGCTCCAACGAGTGCTGAACGACGAGCAAAGGCGCCGTAGTGACCCGCATATGATGGTAGTGTGTTCTATGGGTGAGGTCGAAGAATCAAACGGTTTCAACTACAGCAAAAGTGACTGACACATTAAGTCTTCTTTGATTGCAGAGGATTGCTTCGAGCTCTTTGCGAATATATAGTACTGTCAGTAGAGGAGGCACGGTCGTTGCTTCTCTTAAATAGCTGATGCATGGGTTAAGATCCTTTAAAATCGCCGGCATACTGGATAACGAATGTCTATTGACACCGTACGCGGATTGTTAAACGAGCTGCAGCCGTGGGCATACGATTCAGCAACCACCAACTGCAGCGAGAAAATGCATTGAATGTGAAAGTGAAGTAAAATACTTGGAGCCTTGAGTAAGTGTGTGTATTTTCTTATCAACAATTTCCGATTCCATCTACTCGCATGCAAAGCTGCTTTTCTGGCTTCGAAATGTGCTCCCTAAACATTGCCGAAGTGAAGATAATCAACTATTTGTGGCATGTCAATAATGCCGAAAGTTTGGAAATCATAAAAAGCTTTATTCTCTAGAACAGCAACAACATTGGTTAATATGCGGATAATTCGGGTAAATTGGTAGCTCGGTGCACTATGTTAGTGTTTCGGGCTTTATTTCTCATTGAACTTCACTAATAAAACTATTGGCTAATACCAAAGTGACTTTCTCGGAATGTTGCATGTGAAGCAAGCTTACAGGCGCTTTGGCTTCGCCTTGTTGCTTTACCTTGGCTCGTGACATGGTGCTGAATGTCTAAACGAACGCCAATGAAAAGCGTGCAATGATCGGCGAACGTAATACCACGAACGTAAAACCATAGAGGAAATATACGAAATTATGCGTTCAACTGACAAACTTTTCAGTTTTTTTTTTTTTTTTGTTTTTTTGTTATGAACTAATATACTTATTATCTCACGTTATAAATAAAGAGAGAGGTCTCTTTTTTGCCTTTAGACGATCAATGAATATGAAGAGTACATTATAGTTACATGGCGCTCTCCTCTTCACGGCTGTATTGTAGACAGATACTTAAAACTAGTGCGGCAACTCTTGCTCTTAGTTTCAATGAACTAGTAAACGAGGAGATTGCTTAAGTGAGACCGCAGTTTTCAATTACAACTTTTGTTCGCTCAATGTTAAAGTGCTGATTACTACATATGGCCTTGTAATTGAAACCCGGAATAAAATGTTTGCGGAGCTCAGCACAACGCTCACGAGCAGATCGTTGTTATTATAAACATGTGCCCTGCCACTTACTTATCCACGTATAACGACATTCAGTTACATTTGAAATCAACTAGAGTACAGTAGGAATTGGAGTGTGCTACAGCGCATAACCCCCGCAATGGCAAATCTATTAATAACTTTATACAATGTCGACGATTTGAGAACGATGCATGAGCTGTATAAAGCATGTGGCATAACTCAATTGATTGGTTATCAGACGCTGGGCAACTACATCAGCTGGTTCGAAAGAGAACCACAACAAAAGCATATTAAGATTTACACGCTGCCAGATGTTTGGCGAAAGAGCGGACTCTATTTAATAGTGGTGAGTGTGCGAGAGACTGCAAGCACAGAAATGATGAAAGCAAAAAAACATAGCACTCAATAAAAACATAAAAATGATTCAAGTTAAATATTAATATTTTTGCAGGATCGCTATCAATTGATGATAAATGCCTTAGATACTGCCGAAGCTGCAGCTGAATTGAGAACCGCCTTGCTACAACTTGACTGGAGTCGCGGTTATAAAATGACGGGCGTGCCGGACATACACCACGACACTATTGTCAAAATATTAACAGACTTGAATTTACTCATCGACATAGTGCGGCTACAAATAATGATTATGCCCAGAGCAGAGGCTTTAGCATTAGAAGTGAGGTGAGTGAGGAATAAAACTCAGTTTAATTGACAGCTTAACGGAATATTTGGTAAATGCGATCTTGGCAATGGTTTTCTCATACTACATTTGCTTATCCTTTTATTTTCTTAAGCTTCCTTTCCTTATCTGTTATTTTCGTGTCATTCATTACCTTATATTTTGTATTCTTCATTTCCGAAAACTTCATTTCCTTATTATTCATTTCATTCTCCTTTATTTCCTTTTACTTCATTTCCTCATCCCTTATTTCATTTTGTTTGCTAACTCATTCTTTTAAAAACATTTCCAGCATCTCACCGGAGTATGAATTCCGCCCGCTAGTACCAGACGAAGCTGTTGTTGTAGATAATATCTGGTATTCACGCGCCAAAGGCAGTTTGGCGTTCATCAAGCGACTCATTAAGTACAACTACAATATTGGAATTTATTTGAAGTCAACTGGCGAATTGATAGGCTGGTGCATAAGGCAAGCTTACCCACAGCTCAGCTACATATCTAAACGCATTTTACTACAACTATTTTCCATTGTCTGAACAGATGCAATCTGGGTCTACTCGGCATGCTACACGTCAGGGATGCTCATCGAGGACGTGGGCTTGCTGGCGCAATGGTGCACTTTTTGTCGCGGCGGTTTGCGCAGGCCGGCGACGACGCCACCACTATGATAAGCTATGGCAATTCGGCATCCATTGCGCTATTCACGAAACTGAATTTCAAAAAAGTCGGCACCACATACATTTTTAGAACAAAACGCAGCGAAGACAGCGAGATTTGGACCGACGAGCTGGAGGCAAAGGAACAATAACACAATTAAAAAAAGCAAACAGGCGATTAGATAAAATGTATTTGTATTTATTTAACATTTACGAGTTGTCACTTACAAACTACCGTTTTTACAACAAATAATTGTACATTTAGTTATCATGTTTGCGTACATTGTTTATATGGCAATTAAATTCCTTATTTGGTTAAGATAGTAACGGCATTCGAATTGCGACGTTAGGCTAAATTAAATATCGTTTTTGGCATTCTCTCTTTGGTTTGGTTAGGGCAACGGTGGCACTTGTCTTCCTTGCAAAAGTAATCTCAAACCGGCGTTGAGTTGCGTTGAAGTTCATGATCGTGCGAGGCCGCCGCATGCGCCGCTTCCATTTGCTTTGTAATCTACAAAAGTTTCGAGACGAATTTAAAAGCAAAGTGTGCAGGAGGAGTGAGTTCATAATTTCAGTTGCTCTATAGAGCTACGCCCATTTGGTCGGCATGCAAATATGTACATTTAGTAGAGTTATAGTGAAGAAACATAGCGTGCTAGGATTATTTGAGCAATAGTACACTTAACCTAAGGACGTAGAAAGAATATGCAGGCTATACTTGAATCAATTAATATATATATTTCGGATACTCAAGCTAATAGTAATGAAGCATGTTTTTAGTATTTTCTAGAATTCTTAGAGTACTTTAAGGCTTTGTATTGCATGCAACATTAGTAGCTTTAAACAACATTCAAGGCTCATTTTATTTATCTGCTTGCCTAGAGTCGTAAAGTAAGTTATTGTTATTGCATAAGAATAATTCAATTAAAATATAAATAAATGTTTAATATTAATTAATATAAATCAACGCAAGCAACAAACACACTGCACATATAATATATCTAGTTAATGCATTAAAGGAGCACTTCAATGGAAATCTAACAAGGAGTTTATTATTTATGAGCATAATTAAATTTTCATTTCAGCATTACGGAAGCATAAACCAATTAGTGTTTGCTGCAATTATAGCGCCGCATATTTTATGAAATGCGAAAAAAAATAAAAATAGCGCATTGACAGCACATATATATATATATACAGATGTATATGAGCAATGGAGAAAGGACGAAAATATAAAATTTCTGGAAAACTAGTATATTTTTATAAAGGATAACTGATTCGTTAAGCAAACAGTAAAGGTAGCAATTACTAGGAAATATTTGCCACAGTGGGCATACATGCTTTTCCAGAAACACTTTTGACTTGCAGCTGCTTGTTTTCGAAGCGCGACAAGTCTTTGCTTATGTCCAAAATAACCCATGCAATGAAAAACTTAGAATTTTTTGTTCTGAAAATAGTTATTTTCGTATATTTATTATTTGACTTCAGTATTTGTTAGATATGTTTAGAGTTGCGCTTGTGTAAATATGTATTTCTATAATGACTAGCAATATATGAAGTCTATATAATAAGGATCACTTTTTTGCCAAAAAAGTTTAATTTTTCTGTTTCAATTTTAGTAGAAAACACATTTATGTATCTTTTCCAATTCCGAACATTTTTACCAACTTACTTTATTTTCAGATTTATCTTAACTACACCTTCAATATGCTAGCTTATGTTCTAATTAATAGTCGTTGTTGTTTTATTGTTTTTATTGTTAGTACAGCCAGGTATTAATTATACTGTAAACTTCCCGCTATAATATTCGTTAGTGCTTATGAGACTTATCAAAACTAAAATCAACCAGCTCTTCACTTATAAATATGTATAATCACAAACTATGTTGTTAGCAACTATCACGCTGCTTACTTTTCAAAACTTGTGATGATTTTCTATATATACAAATACATACCGTCACCCAAAATGCAAAACAACGTATCATCAAAAAAATCGAAACTGAGTTTTTTATTGCTTACGAT